CTTAATTTCATGAATCTCCATGTTTGTAAACAGTCAATTTAGCTCCACAAGGTTTGCAAATTTTAGAAAGCTAGAACACACCATAGATAAATAGCTAGACATAAAAAACAACAGCATCCAAAATTACAAATTATTAATAGATAAATGATACATAATAGGGTTTTTAACCAACCAAAATTTGGAAGCCACAAAGTGACTCTTTTCCATGATTAGGAAAAGTGCCAGCTGATATCATTCTTGGCTGCATTTTTCCAACAGTCCTTAGTAATGTGGTAATTTCAAAGGACTTCAAGTTAGTTCTAATTCAAGTTTTGTTTTTCAAAAACTGGTACTCTTCAGATGTACTATTAGAATTCAGTTGTCATAATTCCATCTTCCTATTTTACAAAAGAGGGCAGAAAGGAATGATTTTTCATGTGTTAAAATATGAACAAAGGTGAAAGGATAGATATCATTTTATTTGTTAGTAATCTCACACAATATCGGCTTGTGATCGTTTAGTAGCTGTTTCGGATAGTGTATTAATATATATTTAAAAATCTTTAAATACTAAATATGTTAATGTAATATTGAATTATATTTGGATTAGATACGGAATATGACTTTATCAGGAACTGTAGTTGTATCAATCATAGGTAATGGCATAAAGAATTATATTAATAAATTAGAAAAGTGGAATTATTTGAAATGTCAAGGAATGTTTATCTGAAATGTGTGTTCTGTTTGTTACTAGAAAGCCAATACTTTCTATTAATCAAAGGATGCAGCAATATGTGTTAGTATAGCAGAGATCTGTTATATCTTACAATAATATCTTGCATTGTTCATATTATAGTACAAAACACATTAGTAAATCGGTGACTATTAATAAATATAAAATATATTTTTCTCTTCTCCTTCAGTTTTATTTTTTTATTTTTTAAAAAAATTAAAGATTGTTTTATTACAAACAATAAAGATAGATGATGGATGGATAGAGAGGGAGAGAGAGAGATCTATAGAAAGACCATATATAGGAACAATTAGGTAAACATTGCTAGTTTTAATACTCTTGAAGTACCCTGAGAATTAATTTTCACTCAGGAATTGCTCTTTAACATAGGTATCATCATAAACAATTTAGAGCCCACATATCTCCTCCTTCGCCCTCTTATTTTCTTGTCTATTTATTTATTTGGCAACGAAAAAGCCTGGACTCCACTGCCCACCTCTTCTTTTAAGGGGAAAAAAAATCTACCATTGTTATCTTGCCTTCTTTGTTTTGTTTTGTTTTGTTGCCTTTGTGTTTTTGTTCGGGTGTAATTGTCTTTGTGCATAGTTCTCTCAAATTCATCACACAACCAATACATAGAATCCATCACCAGGAAGAGAAATATTTACATGGCTCTGACTAGTTAGAAATAAATATTATGCTTTACTTTCTGAGAAACTAAGGCTCAGATACTTTTGTGAAATCAGAGATTAAACTTCCTAATCATTATCAGACTATATATGTATGCCCCATTCAAGGAGTTGGGATATAATTTCCCAACTTTGGGTAAGTTATATTTTACTTCCCATTTTGTCCATTAACATAGTGTAACAGGCCAAGACACTCCAATAACCACGTGCTTTTGGGCAACAGGTCCAAGGAAAAATGTGAACAATGTTCTAGGCCTCTTTGAAACTGCTTTGGAGAACAGTGTAGGAGGGAAAAACTCTCTCTTTGAGAGTCAGTTTATTTACTGGAGAATAAGCAAATTGACAGGGGAGATTCCAAGGGCTCAAGTACAGTTAAACAGTCAAGAGGATTTTGCTAATGAGAATGAGAAATGACTCAAAGAGATCCTGCCCTAACATCTGCCAGGTGCAAGTCTAGGCCTCTATCACAGCTATATCTCTTCCTCAGAAAACTGATAGGAGACTTGAGCCTCAGGTGGTTTCTGTTTTCTCTCCACATGGTAGGATGCCATGTTTATCAGAATAAAGTACATGTCACCACAATTCAGCATCCATGCAACATTCCTTCCACTAAATGACAACAGCCCTGGATACAGCTTGGTAGGCTTTTCAGTATCACTCACTTGCCAGAGATAGGAAAACTGGATCCTTCCCTTCTCTTCTGTCACTGACAGGGCAGAACATATCCAGTTTACAAGCACCTTGCATCTTTCTTTCACAGCCTGTCAGTCATTCCATGGATTTAATGGATAATTCAAACAACACCCATAATAGAAACAGCCACTCTGCTCCATCTGGGCCATTATCTCTTTTATATTTGCTCGTTAATATTTACTGGGTTCACACAAAGTGCACATGCTCCTTTAGCTTCAAGGACACCAAATTTAGTAATTTCTGCATCTCTTTCGTTGAAGCAAACGAGAGCAGGGAGAGAGGACGAAGCTTTTATTTAAAAACAAAAAATTAAAAAACCTTCTGCACTGCTATTTTCAGTACTGCCAAAAAGCTACAAACCGCCTTGATTCACTTTGTGTAGGCAAAGACACATGTAAATGTCTATAAATTTCATTGTACCAATCATCCTCTGTCTCTGCAATCGGTCCCTTTAAAAAAAGAAATAATAATTAACCCTTTAGAGAAGCAATTTCAGTGATATCTCTCTCATGAAAACTATGCTGAAAAATAGCTATAATTATTATTTTTAAAAATAATAATTTATATCAGAGATTATTAACTGAAAATCAAAGTCACTCTACCCTTCACACACACATCTCAAAAGTTTTTACCATTTTACAAGTGACTGTAAAAATGTTCTATTTATTAATAAGATAAAATGTTTTAAGTGCATCTAGATTTAGATAAATTACCTAATCTACTTATCCCAAGACAGTATTCTGAAAATAAGCCAACATTGAAAGTAAATAAGGTATGTATTTTTGCGTTAAATCTAAATATGTGAAATAAGGGATAATTCTTCAAAATGCAGAACATTGATTAAAGGGTTTTTAAAACAGAAATCCAAAATGTGTTTGGAATGTATCACTTGAGCCAGGTGATGCAGGTCTAGGACAATTTACCATGGCCAACTCACCGCAGGACAATTCAAGGCTATATTAATTGTTTCATTTAGTTACTTTTATTATTGGTGACCACATTTTTGTTGAAATTATTGTAACTCTTGTATTTCTGAATTGACTTTATTTTATTATTATCGAACATGGTTCTATTGAAATTAATTTATCTTTTTTTATTTGTTGAATTGTCCTGTAGCGAGATGTCCCGCGGCGAGTTGGTCATGATGAGTTGTCATGCGGTGAGTTGGCCATGATGATTTGGCTGCAGTGAGTTGGCTGTGGTGAGTTGTCCCATTCTGATGTGATGCTGTCACTGCCCTCTCATGGTGCCTAGAGGCTATGGAGGTCTGGATGTGGGACATCAGACTTTGGATGAACCATGGTAAGATTGAGTGAGTTTGGGTGCATCCCAGGTTCCAGGACCTTAACATCTTTAATTCTGGATGGTGTTGTACTACCCAGGCAGACCCAGTGCATAACTTGAGGGTTCTCCTGGACTCATGAATCCTGATTGATGAGCAAGTGACAGCCATGGCTAGGAGACTCTGTGCAACTTTATGTTGTGCACTAGTTGCACCCTTTCCTGGATCGGGAGTCCCTCTGCTCAGCCATTCCAACCACCGGTCATCTCACAGCTGGACTATTCAATGTGCTCTACATTGGCTATCCTTGAAGAATATCCAGAAGCTTCAACTGATACAGAATGCAGCTGCATCAGCAGTTTTGGAGGCTTCTAGGGTGGCTCACATTACACCATTGTTCTGCGAGCTGTACTGGCTGCCAGTTTTCTTCCTGGTCAAGTTCAATGTGTTGGTTATCACCTTTATAGCCCTTCATGGGATGGGTCTAGGTTATCTAAGGAGCCACCTCATTGCAAGAGAATTAGTCTGTCCCAGGCTGGCAGAAGAAACATGCTGAGGTTCCAGTCAGTAAAGGAATTTCAGCTGGCAGGAGAAGAGCCTTTTCTGCCAGGGCACCCACTCTCTGGAACATCCTGCTCCCCCAAGATGAAGTCCATATACCTTTCAGGCCTTCTGAAAAGGCTGGCTCTGCCAACTGGCTTGGGGCCCCAATGAGGAAGTGGTGTCCTGGAGTTGGTTAAAGTTGGATTAGACAGACTCTACCTTCTTGCCAGGTGCATTTTGCTTCCTTCCTCTCCAGGTTGGTCAATTGAATTTTAACTGAATTTTAAATTCATGGTCTTTATATATTGTTTTAATGTTTTATATATTTTTATTGAATGACTATAAGCTGACTAGAGTCACCTTGGCGAGACAGGCACCATAGAAACTTAATAAAATAAATAATAGTTCCAAAAATATGTAAGTTTAATATGAACATAAAACTGAATTTTCTGGTGCAATTATACTTTGCTTTCATATTTAAATAATGATCAACAAGTCTTCCTATCATGGCTCCACTAAGGGAACTCAAGTGATAGCCAAAGTTCAAGTCTTCCTGATACAATGCCAGGAGAAATTGTTAGGCATCCAAGCCTATTATGACTAATGTATGAGTTTCTCCAGATAGGAGAATTTGCCTCCTTATATGTCCTTTTCTAATATCAATTTTCTATTATATTGGATATATTCTCTTAGAAATATTCAAGTTTCCAGCAAAGTAAGGAGGCAAACTCAAGACCATATTTTAATGTGTACAACGTTCCAGATGGCTTTGTGCTATCTATACAGAATCTTCCCATGGCCCCAAAGCTATAAATTCTCTTTCAAGTCAAGCTTAACTACTGCTAACTTTATGGATGGATCCACTCAGTTTTCTTGGCAGCAGAACAGAAATGGTTCGCCACTGCCTTCTTCTGGGGCAGTTTTCAGCTTTCCAATCTAGCCTAGTTCTCTGATATTACATGTTAGTCTGTCATCAATAAGCTTTCATTAACAATTTTATTTCTCTTTTTATCAGGAAACATGAACACTTATATTATACTACAGTTTCTATGGAATAATGATCCTTAGCTTGCAGCCTTACCTGTAAGTGTGAGATTTGTGTAGGTGTTAGAGAATTGCTCCTTGAGAAGAACCAGGTGCATCTGAGCTGCCTTTTCTCTTTGTAATTCCAACATGATGTCAGGATGCTGGGCAATCTTACAGCCTTTTTGTTTATCCAATGCAATATCACTGCGAATAATGTCTGCAGCACAAGTGAAAAGAAAAAATATGTCACACAGTCAACTTCCAAACTTACCAAAGGAGCCAAGATTTACTCTAAAACCAGATAATATTATTACTGTGGATAATTTAGTCTTATAGCACCTTGCACATCTGAGTTTCTTTCCAAGTAATCTTTTGTATTAAGTCTATTTAGACTTATTTCCGTGAAAGACAACCTGGCCACTTGCCACTCCTGACTTTTTTCTTATGAAAAGTTTGCCTAAAACAACTCTTAATATGATCTGTTCCACATCTGTACTCTGTCCTGTTAAATTTTCCAGTGACCTATTGTTGCATAACTATAAAAGCAAGAAACGTAAGTCACAAAATAGGTTTTAAAAATATTCAAGACATGAACTTGTAGATTATCCACTTCTCCACTTCTCTTCTCTCTATATACCAATGACTGCATCTCAAAAGGTGCCTCTGTTAAAGTATTGAAGTTTGAAACGATGTTATAGAGCATTGCACACCAGAACAACTAGACACAAGGACAGTTTTTTCCCGCCTGCCATCACTCTGCTAAACAATTAATTCCCACAACACTGTCAAACTATTTACTAAGACTGTATTACTATTATTCTTCTCATCCTTCCTATTCCCTATCTCCTTCTACTTATGACTATAACCTTGTTACTTGTATCTTTACGATTACTGTATATTGTTTTATTTAGTATGATTTTGATTGCTTATTTAATATCCTATGACTATCACTAAGTGTTGTATCTTATGATTCTTGATGATTGTATTTTTTATGTACATTGAGAGCTTATGCATCGAAGACAAATTCCTTGGGTGTCCAATCACACTTGGCCAGTAAAGAATTCTATTCTATAAAGATCTTGGATTGGGACTGGGAGAGCAAATTCAATTTTATTCTAAATCATGCAAACTCAGTAGCTGATATTGGGCCAGTTACCATCTCTCAGCCCAAACTATTTCTCAGGACTGTGAGAAAAACCTGGAGGAATGGAGTGTTAGATACGCTATTGTTCACTTTTGGATGAAGAATGGAATATAAATCTAATCAATACACATTGAAATAATATGGTTTAGAAGCCGGTGAAAGAATATTTTAATTTGCTGTACTGTAATGCTTCATCCATTTAAATTAAATCTTGCTGCTACTGATCCATGGAGTCAAATAGGTTGGGGTCCCCTGCTTTAAATTGATCTGGCAAAATCCATTATGGGTTAAATGGATTCCAACATTTGGAGGTTTTCCCAGTAATCTGAAAGCCAGTCTCAAAGAGTGCCTAATTCAGGTCTGAAAAACAAAGGTAACCATAGCATTTCACAAGCAGAGCCTCCTTATTTGCTGGTCTTGTTTTACCAAATCAGTAGACTAGAAGCAAATTTGATCAGAGAAGAATTTAAGTTCAAGCCCGCATCATGGTGATAATGGTCCTTAAACTATCTTTCTTCTTCAATCTTATTGTGTCAACATACAAAGCAGCATCTTTGTTTGAGATCATTTTCTTCTTTCTATGGGGTGAAAAATGGAAAGTTTTGCCAGCATGTTGCTATATGTAGTCCTTGACCTATGGCCACAATTGAGCCCAAAATTTCTGTTGCTAAGCAAGACATTTGTTAAATTAATTTTGCCCCATTTTATAACCTTTCTTGCTACAGCTGTTAAGTGAATCACTGCAGTTGTTACTTTAATAATATGGTTGTTAAGTGAGTCTGGCTTCCCCATTGACTTTGTTTGTCAGAGAGTTGCAAAAGAGGATTACATAACCCTGGGACATTGCAAATGTCATAAATACATGCCAATTGCCAAACATCTGAATTTTGATTATGTGACTATGGGGATACTGCAATGGTCATAAATATGAAAAATGGTCATAAGTCACTTTTTTTCAGTGCCATTGTAACTTTGAATGGTCACTAAATGAACTGTTGTAAGTGAAGGACTACCATAGTTTTTGAACAGCATTTAACAGAAACTGAGGCCCTTCATCTAAAACTCATAACTGCATCAATTCATGCTCATATTGTCATTTGGAACTGGAATATGTTGTAATTAAATGTTTCCATCTCTTTCCTCTTTCCTCAGCCAATCCTTCCAAGCAACTTCATAATCTTGATCTGACAGGGAACTTCAGGAGCTGCCTTTTTGGAGCACTGGACCAAGGCCTTTATTCATATAGTAAAAATGTATAATTTATAGTAAGTTCCTTAGTTTGGACAATAGATAACTCTTTCTTAACAACTGATGATTTGTGAACATGCCCTAAAGTCACATGGGGATTTGTGCTGGCATAAGAAAAATCAGAAAGAGCTATGCAAATAGTTATGCTTGACCTCATCCTTTGCTCAAAGACATCATACTTCCCAATAGTTGTGACATATATCATTTCTACTTTTCCCTTCCCTTCAAAACTTCCCCACATGTGCATTATTCTACTTCCACATAAAGCTAAGAGAAGGAAGAGAAGAAAAAACATGTGATTTAGAAATGGAAAGCAAATTAATATGTGTGTTTTCTCATATCCAATTCTGTGTTGTCTATCCCTATTTTAAATGTTGTACACATGGACAAAAATATGTACAAGAAAGCATTCATATTTTAATATAACTACAAATCATGCACAAATGAGAAGAGATTTCCATATGCCTCTCTTCACAGTATAACCTTAGAGTTATTTTTGACCCAACCAAAATGTTTGAGAAAGATAATTATCAATCCAATGGGAGTAATATCTAAGACATGTTTGGCAAACCTGTTGTCCTCCAGATATATTAGATACCTATTATCAAGGATGATGGAAGTTACAGTCCAGCAGATCTGATGGACAATAGGTCAGAAAAAGCTAGTATAGCTAAATGAATTTAGCTTATACTTTCTTCTAAAAACAATATTTTAAATACTCATGACACAATGCCCATGGTGAAGAAATAGCAGTAGTATGATATAATAATCAGGTAGTCAAATTTCACTCTATCAACTAATTACAGAGTTTCATGTAATCCTCAAAATAAACACCAATATACATTTTGTTTAGATTGTTGTGTAAATCTATCCAATATGTGAATAGCAGTTTATGATTTAGTAAAGTCTTTGCATAATCAATAAATCATAGTTAATAGTTAATATGTCATGGATTACTATGTTTTGGGATTACAGTATGAACAAACTACAGTTTTCTTAAACTGTATAACTACAACTCTCATCCTCTTTCATTATGCCTCTGCTGACTGGAGCTGCTGCATGTTGCAATTCAACATTTGAAGGTTAATTCTGGTGCTTTGTGAACAAGATTGATGCAAATCTTTGAGTCTATTTTTTCTTCACAAATGAAGGCAAATATACGTGTCCCCAGGATAATGCTGCAAGGTCCAATCTGGGTTAGTCATAAGGACCAGAGGTTTAGTCTTCTGAGCTTTTGGACTCATACTGGAGCCCATCCTCAGGGAACTTCTCTCTTCTGGAATATGGGTTATATTTGGGTTATTCTATGCATCGTGCTTTGGGTTAGTCTATGCATCATATTTATGTGGTACATAAAAATTCTTCTTCCCTTTTCTTGAATTTTTATGATTCTGAAATTTGAAGACATCATTCTTTTAAGCAATGATTTCAGAAACACAACTTGGTTCTTGTTTGTTCTCAATAATTAAACCAAACATTTCTTTTCCAGGTTTGGATGTGTCAAATAATAGTCTTGCCTTTAAAACCAAAAATGGATACTTTCATTCTCCTCTAGAATGCATACACAATATCCTGAACTCATTATCCTCTTATGCAACAATTTGAGAAAAATAATATGGATTTACTTCTATAGACCAGACTGTAGAACATTGCTGTTGGATTGGTTACTATACTTTTGAATAGTCAGGAAGACTATGCACAGTCATCCTTCTGAAGCTATTTATACTGCAGATTCATAGATGAATATGAAGGGAGCACACCCATGTGGCAGGTAGATGAGCTGCGGCTAATTGCAGGATGCAAACCCAGCCTTCGTAAGCTGGAAAAGTGAAAGGCTACCTAGTACGACTCTAAGGCCAGAATAAGAAAAAACAGTAAGGCATTCTGTTCAAAGCTTCTCATATTACTTTGGCATTTGAGACCTTCACAGTGAAACTCTGGAAATTTTGTCCATTTTCAGCAGTGATATAAACAATTTTCTGCACTTTTGCTAGGATCGGTTCTATATCTTCCTAAAAATGTTTTATTTGAGGATCTCCTTTTCAACTGAGATACTTCATTCTAGTACATCCCACATTAATGTATCTACATTTTTTAAACTGGTGTTGGAACAGAACAAAATTTAGTTTGAGATAAATACATTATTCTGTTAAAACAACTGCTCTCTGGAGGCAGAGCTGTCCATTCCTTTGGGATGGCTACAATTATTTTCCAGGAATTATGATAACTGCCACAAAAACCAGCTTGAACATTTCATTGAATCTTTTAGGAAAAATATCAAATGACCAAAAGAAATATAAATTACTTTTCTTATTGATCAGAAACCTTTCTATTTATGAAAATACTGGAAGTTATTTTATTGCAACACCAGAACTGAGATATCCAGCTGAGGTCAAACTTACTCTTTTAGTCATCAGACAAATGGTCAGTAAATGGAAAGTTATAAAACTTTGAAATCGCCAGTTTAAAACGTTATAGCCATTAAATATGTTTCTACAATTGTGCCCATGTGCCTGGCCAATTTTGTTAGAGTTCAGATTTTGGCAAATAATCAGATAATGCGAGTTCTTTGCTTTAAGTAATGCTATAGTAATTATCTTAATATAAGGAGCATATATTTGTTTTGGTAAATGTTCCCATCTTAGAACATGTAAAATGCTTAGAAACCAGAATTAATGCAAGTTAATATTTTCCTGAATAAAGTAAGTCAGTTTTATCTTGCCCATAAAAAAACAGTTCTTTCTCCTATATTCATTATTAAAAGACTTCTTAAAAATAACAATCATACAGTTTCTAAATATTTTGTCAATTTCTTTGTTCAGTGT